TCTATTACCTTTCTTCTTCTCTTTCCCCCCTCCCCCTCCCTCCTACCAATCTCCACTCTTACAAGATAAACTAGCTTTCGGCAGTGCAGCAGCTGACTGATATCCACAGGTATATTTCCTAATAATGTTGCCTTTGATTTGAAGGAGTTTTAAGGCATCCAGTTTCTTTAGATCTCAAGTCTAATGAAATGAGACCAATACCCGAATCTCCTCTCAATGCAGTAAAGGATGTTGAGAGCTGGGTTTTCTGATAGTCTTAAATTTTTATTCTTGTTTGATTTTGTGTTGTAAACCCATTTTTCAGTGACTATCATCCTACCTTAATTCCTAATGCTCAATTATATTATTGCTTGGTTTCCTTTATAGTGTTTTGTTGTGCTTACTTTAAGAAAAATACCTTTTTGCTTCACTCTCATCACTGTAAAAGATGTCTGTATCATTAAATGTCATGGCATGTTGCAGAACCTGTAGATCTTCTCTGGATGATTTTCTAATTTATCTGTCTTCATCCTCTTACTGAAACATGTTTTTTCTCTAATAATGACTATCCTTACTTAACTCATAGGGGTAATGTGAGGACAAATTTTATGATGTGTTCAAAACACTGAATTCCTTAAAAAAAAAAAAAAAAAAAAAAAATCACTATAGACACAAGAGTTGTTCTTAATAAAAAATTATTTTTGCCCTCCTTATATGGACCTTGAAGGTGAGTTAAGAGACCACGTAAGTCACAATCATGGTAATCCCAGCTCCGTGGAGCCTCGCTTTCCTCCCTTGTTAAGGTTGGACACCACCATCTGTGAGGTCTGGCTTACTAGGTAGAGGAGTCTAGAGATCAAATGAAACATAAACATGAACAAGTAGAGCCTACACTCTATAAATAGCCAGCCAAAAAATTCATGGGGATAGAGTTTTTAGAAAAGACTTTATCTCCAATGAAGTTACAATTGTGTGGATTTTGAAGAATCCACACTAAATTGCCTGGTTTTCTAGTGAAATATCAAATGTCCCCTGAATTCCAGTACAATTCGCCAATGAAAATATTGCTATATGGCAATTAAAGCTAAACATATGAAACAAAGGCCAAGAGGAGTTTACCTGAATAATCTGGGCAGCAAGCTCTGGTGTCCCATGCTTCAGGTCGTGTCCATTGATGGCCAGCACTCGGTCGTTGCTGCTGAGCCTGCCGTCCTGGGCAGCCAGCCCCCCTTCCAACAGATCAAGAATGAAAACACCTGGCTCATCTGTCCTTCGGACCAATTTAATGCCGAGCTGTTCACCAGAGTCTCGTTTATGAAGAACCACATGGAAAATCTCTTCTCGTGGAGAGTTACTATCAGAATGGTTGGATGCTCGGTTGCCAAAGCGCCTCTCTCGAAGCACAGTGAGATGCAGCGTGGTGCAGGGCTGGGAAAGGACAGCTCTGGCATAGTTATGGGACACGTTGCTAATATCACAGTTGTTTACCTAGAGAGAAAGAATTATAAGCAAAGCATGACAATCTTTTATTTTCCCAACTTGTAGAAATGTTTATACATGTATAACATACATTTCCAAAGGAAACTAACATCATGAAAATGCTATACAGTCATTACTTACAATGAAAACCCCTCTAAAGACATTTTAAAATATAGGGTTTCTAAAATTAACTTACAATAACTAGCATCAAGTAGAGAATAGTAGTTAGAATCACAGGCTTTAATGATAGTCTTGAATTAGAGTGTTTGGTTCTGCCATCTACTAACTGATAACCTCAGGCAAATTCCACAACTCACTTGAGTGTGTTTCCTCATCCATATAATGTGTTTACTAGTTACTTCACAGGATCGGTATGAGAATGAACAGACAACATCAGCATATGGCAAGTGTTAATGAAATACTAGTTCTAGTAGAAAAGAAACTGAAGTTCTACCAGATTACAAATTTGCTTTTTCAAATGAAATACACTTAAGCTAGAAAAAATACACTGTTTTGTTTTAAGGAAAGTGACACATATAGGGAACACAACTTATTTCAGATGACTAACTTTAAAGTAGATAATTATAATTTCATTCTAATTCTTTAGCACACAAATGTAATATACATCTAATACACTAACATAATTTGATAATCATGTAAGATTTGTTAAGCTTTATAATGTTGAAATAAGTATAGTGTAATTAGTCTGTTTTGTGTTGCTTATAACAAAATACATGGAACTGGGTAATCTATAAGAAAACAAAATTTATTGCTTACAGTTTCTGAGGCTGGGAAGTCCAAAGTCCATCTGATGGGGGCAACGGTGACCCAGGGGTCTCACATTGCAAGATGGTGGAAGCAGAGAGAAAGCGACAGACTCTCCTCTCCTTTTAAAGCCCTTGGAACCATGCCCCTGACCACCATTTTTAATCCATTCACTACAGCATGGTCCTACAATCCAATCACCCCTACAGGGCTCCACCTTTCAATTACCATAATAGGATTTCCCACATCATGAAGAAGTGGCCCAAATGCCCATGGTTCCTACTCCTGCTACACTGCCTTCTCTCCCCAAGACCATTGAAATAAGTATAGTGACTGCTGTAGATTGGATGCCCCCCACTCCCAAACCTCATTGAGGCTTAATCCCTCAATGTAACTGTTGTAGGTGGGAAATCCTATTATGGTAATTGAGAGGTGGGGCCTTGAAGAGGTGATTAGATTGTAGGACCATGCCATAGTGAATGGATTAAAAATGGTCTCAGGGGCATGGTTCTGAGGGTTTTAAAAGAAGAGCATATGAGAGGTTAGTCTCTTTCTTCTCCACCAATTTCACAATGTGATACTCTGCCATCACTGCCGCCACTACCAAGACCTTCAACAGAAGTATTCCCTGGACTTTGGACTTCCCAGCCTCAGAAACTGTAAGCAGTAAATTTCATTTTCTTTATAAAATGCCCAGTTCTATGTATTTTGTTATAAGCAACAGAAATGGACTAATACATTGACAGATCCTTAGACACCACCATTTTTAATCCATTCACTACAGCATGGTCCTACAATCCAATCACCCCTACAGGCCTCCACCTTTCAATTACCATAATAGGATTTCCCACATCATGAAGAAGTGGCCCAAATGCCCATGGTTCCTACTCCTGCTACACTGCCTTCTCTCCCCAAGACCATTGAAATAAGTATAGTGACTGCTGTAGATTGGATGCCCCCCACTCCCAAACCTCATTGAGGCTTAATCCCTCAATGTAACTGTTGTAGGTGGGAAATCCTATTATGGTAATTGAGAGGTGGGGCCTTGAAGAGGTGATTAGATTGTAGGACCATGCCACAGGGAATGGATTAAAAATGGTCTCAGGGGCGTGGTTCTGAGGGTTTTAAAAGAAGAGCATATGAGAGGTTAGTCTCTTTCTTCTCCACCAATTTCACAATGTGATACTCTGCCATCACTGCCGCCACTACCAAGACCTTCAACAGAAGTATTCCCTGGACTTTGGACTTCCCAGCCTCAGAAACCGTAAGCAGTAAATTTCATTTTCTTTATAAAATGCCCAGTTCTATGTATTTTGTTATAAGCAACAGAAATGGACTAATACATTGACAGATCCTTAGAAATGTAACATCACTTAGAAAATATATCCAGCTTCAATTATTCATCTAGTTTACAAGAAGAGATGAGCATAATTCTTAGCATTTATCACAATTAGAGTTCTTCTCAGAATCGGTCTGAGATGAAATCAACATTTTCCGAACATCTCTTATGTGACAAGCTCTGGGTTGGGTGTTTGTGATCACCTAAAATACTTAAAACTTTTTCATATAAATCCATGTTAAGCAAGGCCTCTCCCTTCCTATTTATCTAGGATTGATTGATAGTTTTGAACACTACTAACTAGAATTCTATTGATTTTGGCCTATTGACATTTTTTAAAATTCAGTCATCAAATTCATATATGTCATACACAGACTTGCTATTCTCCCAAGTCTGCAACAGCTATACATTTGGTAGACATCCTAGTACTTGATAAAAATGTTGAATATAGGGTCAAGAACAGAACTTCAAGGCAGCTTCTAAAAAACCAGGATGATATAGATTCATTAGTCAAAATCATCATTTCTGGATTTCAGCTAAAAAGCTACCTACATCTAGGTTCACATTTTTCCATCTTATATTCAGTCAGACATATCACAAATGACTTCAATAAATGTCTGGCTGAAATCCAGCTATATTTTCCAGCCATGTGCAGGCATGTAGCCTCATATAACCTTTGTGGAGTAGGTTTGGAAATATCCTACAATTGGAAAGAGATTTTTCTTCCACAGATACATTGTTGCCAGTGAAATTCAGAGAAAGCAGATGACTAAACAAAATACTCTTTCTAGATTTTGAAAAATAGTATCAGCACAGTAAATTCAATCACATTTTTGGGCTGTGATTTTTATCAATACAATCAACACATGGCTGTAATTATTTTCATTCAAAACTGAAAACGTGAAAATTACTGATGACTCTGCTCAAACTGAAAATACTTAATGTTTTAAAAGTTACATTACTTTTAATAATAATAATATTGATGTAATTTGTAACAGCACTGTTTTTTTCTTCCAAACTGCTGAAAAGGCTGTACATGAATCTCTGAAGAGCAGTAAAAGATCCTGAGAGCATATTCTCCTTTTCGAAGAGGCTATTGAACACCATAACACGTGTGTGTGTGTGTGTGTGNATGTAACATCACTTAGAAAATATATCCAGCTTCAATTATTCATCTAGTTTACAAGAAGAGATGAGCATAATTCTTAGCATTTATCACAATTAGAGTTCTTCTCAGAATCGGTCTGAGATGAAATCAACATTTTCCGAACATCTCTTATGTGACAAGCTCTGGGTTGGGTGTTTGTGATCACCTAAAATACTTAAAACTTTTTCATATAAATCCATGTTAAGCAAGGCCTCTCCCTTCCTATTTATCTAGGATTGATTGATAGTTTTGAACACTACTAACTAGAATTCTATTGATTTTGGCCTATTGACATTTTTTAAAATTCAGTCATCAAATTCATATATGTCATACACAGACTTGCTATTCTCCCAAGTCTGCAACAGCTATACATTTGGTAGACATCCTAGTACTTGATAAAAATGTTGAATATAGGGTCAAGAACAGAACTTCAAGGCAGCTTCTAAAAAACCAGGATGATATAGATTCATTAGTCAAAATCATCATTTCTGGATTTCAGCTAAAAAGCTACCTACATCTAGGTTCACATTTTTCCATCTTATATTCAGTCAGACATATCACAAATGACTTCAATAAATGTCTGGCTGAAATCCAGCTATATTTTCCAGCCATGTGCAGGCATGTAGCCTCATATAACCTTTGTGGAGTAGGTTTGGAAATATCCTACAATTGGAAAGAGATTTTTCTTCCACAGATACATTGTTGCCAGTGAAATTCAGAGAAAGCAGATGACTAAACAAAATACTCTTTCTAGATTTTGAAAAATAGTATCAGCACAGTAAATTCAATCACATTTTTGGGCTGTGATTTTTATCAATACAATCAACACATGGCTGTAATTATTTTCATTCAAAACTGAAAACGTGAAAATTACTGATGACTCTGCTCAAACTGAAAATACTTAATGTTTTAAAAGTTACATTACTTTTAATAATAATAATATTGATGTAATTTGTAACAGCACTGTTTTTTTCTTCCAAACTGCTGAAAAGGCTGTACATGAATCTCTGAAGAGCAGTAAAAGATCCTGAGGGCATATTCTCCTTTTCGAAGAGGCTATTGAACACCATAACACGTGTGTGTGTGTGTGTGTGTGTGTGTGTGTGTGTGTGTGTGTGTGTGTGTGTGTGTGTGTGTGTGTGTGTGTGTGTGTGTGTGTGTGTGTGTGTGTGTGTGTGTGTGTGTGTGTACGTAATGCATATTTTAATGTGGGAAAATCAAAGCCACACACTGTTACTGCATATAGTTTGCTAAAATAAAATCATAGGCTAGCTCTCTGACCTGCAAATGAACCATCTTACGACCTCTTGGGGATTTTCAAATTGGCTCACTATATTATTTACCCAGTTTGTACAAAGTTGGAGGTAACCAGGTAGTGAAAAATACCAAACAGGCCTCTTTTCAAGTGCTCACTTTTGAACGACCATAAATACTTCTCTACATTTGAGAAAAGGATGTAGCTTTACTGACTGGCTCCACCACACACCAGTTGTAAGCTAACCAGAAGTCAGGGCTCACAATAGGAGAGACCCTTTGTGAATTTATTAATCAGGTTATGTGCTCGTACTTTTCTTATCAACTTAAATCATTAAACTGGATTTATGACTGCCATTATTAGAGTTACCAGTATGTATGTCTCCATAAACAATAATAATGCACTGGAATTTCTACAATGTAGATTTTTTAACTTTGGATTAATTCCCAAAAATATGGCCTATAATTTCACATAATTAATTTTATTTAGGTATAAAGATTCAGTTATGTTACCAAACAATTCTCCAAACCAGAAAAGTAAAAAACCTGCTGATGAAATATATTAGTAAACAAAACTAGAAAAACTAATCTCGGTTATATTTAAAAAAATACAAATAAAAACAAAGCATTCATTTTTACCTTTAAAATGCAGAAAAAGAATGAGGAATATATAAAAATGTTAATATCCAATGCTGGCACCTTACTCGTAGCAAAAAGCAAAACACAAATATAAGTGTACACTTAAATTACAGCTAGAAAGATCAGAAGTGGGAGAGAGAAAGAACACTACGTAGGCTGACGAAAGGGCGCTCTGGCTCTCCTTGGTCTTATCTGCTAAGGTGTCAAGATGTCTGGGGAATAAAGAAGTCTGAGGATGCACCTGGGAAGCCAGCTGACAAACTGGAGCACAAGATAAGGACAGGTTGGAATGTGGGAATATGTTGTTTGCAGAGAAGCAAGAAGATTGCTTGGACTGGCTCTCCCAAGAGACTGTACATTCCATGAGGACAGGACAGTATTTTGCTCTTAAATGTATCACCAGCAACTAGTACAGTGCCTAGAACATTGCAAGCAATGAATAAATTGGTATGCTCGAAACAAAAGAAAGAGCCAAGACTAAGAAGACAGCTTGTAAAAGAGACCGTGGAGGGCCTTGACTATTAGAATAATTAGCTTAGACTTGACACTCTAGTCGAATCTTTGCAAGAAAAGCCAGGTTACAGGTATATTAACCTGGTAGTGATCATGTCAGATTTAACAGAGGAGAGATGAGAGAAAGGGATATTTGATGCAGTATTCTACTAAATGAGTTATGAAGTAGTGAAGGCCTAGAATAGAGAGGTAGCAGGGAAGACGGAAGTTAGAGCATGGTCAAGAATTGAACAACAAATCCAAGAAAGGAAGAGTCCTTGTTCTTGGGTTTCTAGAAGGCATTTTTCTTGTTCTCGAATATTTCTTCTCTCTCTTCCTAGAAGTTATCCATTTCTTTTTTTTAGCTTCCATTATCATTACAGTTGTATGATTCAAATGTCCAGGCCAGTTATTCATATAAACTCCAGTCCTATACAGTAGAAGTCTTACCATTCCCATCTCCTCAGTCTCCATATGACCCCTAATAAAATATCTTGACTTACACTAGTTCTTTTTTAGGACTACCTATTTCTTCTTAAAGATTGTCTTCTGAAAGGAAAAACAGTAAGGATAGTATCAGGGGTTATTGAAAACACAGAATTAGAAAGCTTGCTGAGGAGAGGGCATTAGGGAGTCAATAACAGATGACTGTAAGATTTCTGAACTGTATCTTAAATTCAGTGGTATAAGTTATAAGTAACTATGCTGCATGGTTCTGTCTCTTCTAGATTTTTAGTAATCAGCGTAGAAAAGGATAAATCAGATAATGACGGTAATAGATGGATGGGAAACTGGGTGTGGGATGAAGCCAATGGGATAAAAGAATTTCAGCATGGATGAAGGTGGCCCTGGAATAGCCACCCATGGAATCCAAGCCAGGAAGAGTCTAGCCAACCCAGAGAGCTGTGTGCCATGTGCTGAGTCACATGTGGGATCAAAAATATAGGTAGGAAGAAAAAA